CCATCTCAGTATATTCCGACTGGGAAAGTTCGTTGAGCTCAGCACTTGTGATGTGTGCCTTTCTCTGTATGTATGGGCTACCCCAACATAGGTAAAAATAATAAGCAGAAATCTCCCAACCCCTCACCAGAAACCAGATTTGGATTGGCGAGTGGGGAGGGGAGAGAGAAGAGTTCAGGACTGACCTTTGTTCTGCAGCTCTCCTGGGGATCCACTGGCTGAAGTCGGGGTTGGGGACACCAGCACCCCATCCTGGGCCAGGGTTTGTGGTCTCTGCTTGCTCTTGGCAGCTTCGACAGCCTTGAGTTTTCTGGCGTGTTTGTGGCCTTTGTAATGTGCTTCGGCTTGGTTCTGGGGAGGGGAGGGCTTGGGGTCACCATTTCTTTGCTGAGTCTGCAGGCCCCCTCCATGAGCTGGTGCTGGGCAGGGGGCAGGTCAGAGGGGGCAGGGCTCCAGCCAGACAAGAGGGGAATCCTTGTTTTGTTTTTGTTTTTTTTAAGATTTTATTTATTTATTTGACAGAGACACAGCGAGAGAGGGAACACAAGCAGGGGGGGTTGGGAGAGGGAGAAGCAGGCCCCCTGCCGAGCAGGGAGCCCGATGCGATGAGGGGCTCAATCCCAAGACCCCGGGATCAAGACCCAAGCTGAAGTCAGACGCTTAAGGACTGAGCCACCCAGGCGCCCCAGAGGGGAATCCTTGTCATCACAGCATGTGTGTGGCCCTGAGGTTTATAGAATTCCTTCTTATACATACATGAGCCCCCAGGCAAGCAGCTTCTGGCTTCAAATTCTGTCTCAGCCACTTATAAGCTGTGCATCTCTGGGCAAGTCGTCTCACCTCTCTGAGCCTCAGTTTGCTGACTCGTAAACTTTGTGACAATACTGACCTCACAGGGTTGTGAGAATTAAAAAGAACATGAAGGACGCCTGGGTGGCTCAGTCGGTTAAGCAGCCAACTCTTGATTTTGCCTCAGGTCATGATCTCAGCGTCATGAGATGGAGACCCGCGTTGGGCTCTGCGCTCAGCCAGGAGGCTGCTTGAGATTCTTTCTCCCTCTGCTCCTCCCTCCACTCTCTCTCAAATAAAGAAATAAAATCTTTTTAAAAAAATAAATAAAAGGGGCACATGGCGCATGGGCGCATGGGCGCAAAGTCGTTAAGCATCTGCCTTCGGCTCAGGTCATGATCCCAGGGTCCTGGGATCGAGCCCCGCATCGGGCTCCCTGCTTGGTGGGAAGCCTGCTTCTCCCTCTCCCATTCCCCCTGCTTGTATCCCCTCTCTCGCTGTGTCTCTCTCTGTCAAATAAATAAATAAATAAATAAATAAATAAATAAATAAATAAATAAATATAAATAGAACACGAATGACAAGGGCCTAGTACATATAGCAGGTGCTCAACAAATGTTAGTTACCAAGTTCATAAAGGCACAAATGGAAAAAATAGAGCATTCTTCATACTTGGGGTATGTGCACCCAGAACATTCGTCCCTTTGTTCATTTTTTTCAGCAAATCGTTTTTGAGCATTTGCTCTTTGCCAGGCTCTGTGCCAGGGGCCCGGCATGGAGAAGACATGGTCCCTCCCTCAGAGTGACGTCTTTCTGTCCATCCCTTGCAAGACTCATATGACCTGAAAACCTGAAAAGAACCCCTGAATCTAGCCTGTTGGTGTCCTCCCTCCTTCAACCAGAGGTCCCTGCTTATTGCTCCCAAGTATAGGAAAGGCAGGCCCCTGCGGCCCCTCCCTAGACCCTTTCACCAGAGCAGATCTCCCCAAGCCCCAGAATTTTCCAGACAGAAGGTAAATATTCCCTGGGGGTCCAGAATGAGGCTTCTCCATTATCTAGGGGTAGGCTGTGGTAGAAAGTACGTGGGCCTTGGGGTCAGCCAGGCCTGGGTTCAAATCCCAGCTCTGCTACTCATCAGCTGTGTGGCCTCAGGCAAATCACTTAACCTCTCTGAGGCTGTTTCCTCATGTGAAAAGTGGGGATAATAGCACCTCTATCCATCTCACAAAATATCATGAAAACTAATTAAGATGATGGGAATGAACATATTCAACACATTAACCCTCCGGTGCTTTAAGAACTCAGCTCCAGACCAGGAACCAATAGGGGCCCCTGGGACCCAGAGCAGGGAAGGGCAGTCTTTTCTCTTGCAGAAGGATCCAGAACACAGGAGAGAAGCAGAAGGGAGGGAAATGGAGGCCCCAGGGCCACTAGAGATGAGGCAGAGGAATTTGGAGAGAAGAGAAGGCGGGATGGGTAAAGGACCGGGAGCGCCTCTTCTGCACCCAAGGATGGAAAATACGGACCCCAGTCCCTTTGCCAGCCCTATTCCTCCAGGAAAGACCCCAGCAGCCAGTGTCCAACCCTCTCCCTGCCCAGCCCCCTCCCCAGCCTGTTTCCGCTACTCCCTCTCACCGCTGAGTTGAACCTCAGGTGACAGATGTTACAGGAAATGAAGAGCTTCTTCTTCAGAGGGGAGGGGACCCCAAACGTGTGGCTGATGACAGCTTTCTGGATCGGGTCCATCTGTGAAGGGGGTGGGAGGGCACAATAACGCTGGGGTCGGCTCTGGAAGGGGAGGCAGTACAAAATGCCAGAAACTACAGACTACTAAGGAGGGCAGGCATCGGGACATAGGAAGAACTTCCCCATCCCTGTGGGTAGGAGACACACGGGCACAGTCTCTTCTCTGGCTGACCTCTGTTAGCCTGGGCTTCAGCTTGGAGGCAGGGGGGATGGCCAGGGTGACCTCCGTGATCGGGAGAAAAACAACCATGTCCCGGTGATCACCTTGGCCTCTCTTGCTGCCCCTCTGGTCTCTGCTTTGGGTTTTTTTTTTTTTTCCTTATTCACAAAAATCACTATTGGGACAGAGTTGGGGGCAGGGAGAAACAGGGACGGGACAAAGAGTCTCTCTGTTGGAAATCCTCTCCCATAACCCAGCCTTGTGCTGGGCCTGTGGGCTGGCGGGGAGAAGGCTTATCTTTTCAGCTCTGCCACTGTCACAGGGCCCGAGGGGGGAGTGAGGGCATGGCCAGGGCAGGTGGGGGGCCGGGAAGGGGCAGGTTGCAGCACGTGCAGGCCAGACGGTTCCCTGAGTCGTAGGGTTATTTCTTTGGTATATTAATTTATGTGGGGTTTTTTTTCCCCCTCTTCCTTATTTTAACTTTTTTTTTTTCCTTCTATCAAACCAAGCCTTTATGTTTCCTTTCCTCAGGGGCTGCTTGTTGGACCAAAAGCAGTTGTCTGGGCTTGCTTATCAAGAGGAACTTTCCAGACCTCCCTGAGAGAAGAGAACAGAGGCTTTGAGAGAAAAGCATGGTTTCAGAAACTCCCTAGGGAACAGAACGAGGGTCTAACCCTCACCTAACAGCACCTGGGGCTGGGGGCAGGCAGGGGACAGGAGCATGGCCTGCAGGGCCCCCAGAGAGGCGGGCAACAGAAGCTGTACCCACTCCCAAGGGACTGTGTGCATGGTGCATCAGCAAGTGACAGAGAGGACCAAACAACAGGGAACCCTTCCCAAATGGCTCAGGCTCCTGTGGGCCTCTGTGCGACGCTGGAGGTTAGAAAGGGAGGGACTCCTAAGGGTGACGGAGACTGAATTTCCCACCGTCTTGTCAGGATGGGCTGGGGCTCCTTGATGATTACATCTGATGTTTCAGAATTAAAGAAAGGGGGGGTACTTCTTATAGTGAAGTAAAATTCATGCTCCCTGCACCTGTCATTCACACACACGCACGCGTGGAAATACAGAGACACAGAGCACAGAAGCCTACAGGCAGGTACGAATCACAGAGCCATGCAGAAAAATGCAGACCCACAGGAGTACAAATGGCACACTTCACAGACACACTCACAATCACCCAACCCCCCCACACACACACTCAGAGGTGAGACACACACCAAACACGTACAGAGTCAACACAAAGAGAAAAAATCTCTCAGAGACACGGGCACATACATTAATTACATACAGTTACCAAGGCGCAAGAGTTGTTTACACACACATCCACAAGTATCAAAGACCCATAGAAACATAAACTAAAACAGAAGGGCACACCCCAGACATACAGATGTCCCTCTACAAAAACTCAAGTGTAACCTCCAGGCCACAGGCCCAGCAGTCATTACCGGGGGGAAGGGGGTGACACCATCCTCATTCTTTGGTCTCGGGGAAACCTGGACCCAGGGGTCCCTGTTTTGGGAATGCCCAGTCACTCTTGGGGATGTTGCTCCTACTTATACCCAGCTTCCAAGAGCCAGCCCCTCCGTACCCACCTTCCCTGCCCACCCCCAAGCTCGGCCGCATGCCCCCACCCACCAGCCCAGCCCGTACCGTGCTGAAGTTGGGGGTGAGACTGAGCGGGGTGGCGCCATTGAAGTGGAAGGCGAGCAAGTGCTTGAAGTCCAGCGGGGGCTGCAGAGGCCTGGCAGGCAGGGGCAGGGAGGCCAGCAGGGGGCTGGGGGCACTGGAGGCCGGGCCTGCTGCAGGAGGAAGAAGGGCAGGGTCTGAAATGGGGAGCCACAAGGCTCACAGTGACCTCCACAGCCAGAAAAAGAGACTGATGGGCTTCTTGGATGTGGAGCCAGGGCAGAAACTGTCTCCCTCTTCACAAAGCAGCACTGGCTAAGCCCGGGGCACTCACAGCCCATTTCGGTGCCTCTCCTCTCCACAGTGGGGGGAGCAGAAGCAGGGAGACCACAGTTCTCAGTTCCCAGCCCCGAAGGATGCCCCTCCTATCCCCTCCAGAGGCAGCCCGAGGGCCCCAATGAACCCAGCTGGGAATCAGGCCAAGGGAGGAGCAGAGGAGTACACACACACACACACACACACACACACACACACACACACACACACCCCACACACCATGGAGACTGTGTGATGTACTGGGTTTCCATTTATTGCAAGTTAAACCCAAACCCAGGGGACCTGGGGAAAGGCCAGCCCCCTCCCCTCTCACTAACTGCCCCCCTCCTGATCCCCACATCATTCACTGCAAGGGCTGACAGAGAAGACGGGGAAACCTGTTGGAATCTGAAGGGATGTTGTCCCCTAGCTCTGGTGAGGCCCCAACTCCTTCCAGAAGGCAAAAAGCCCTCTAACCCCTGGATCAGGCCTGAGGCTGGTCCTCAGAGTTGGCCGGTCCAGCCACGTGGTTTTAGGGTCTTTGGTCTTAAAGGTCTGAGGCAAGGGCAGGGGAAGGCTAGGAACTTTGGGGAGCAACCAGACTCTGAGGAAGAAAAGAATTAGAAATAAATCCAGTCCATCGGGACTTTTCTGGACCCTGTCATTGCAAAACCATAAGAAGTCCTTTCAGATTTTTTGTGTGTTAACAATATGCAAGATAGATTTATTTTACATTGATAGATGTATATGTCTATATACACAGCCATATGCAGAAGAGTCTCACGCAGTGGGCAGGGGAGGTAGGGCACCACTACCTCCCTTGAACTGGTAGCTTGTGCACAGAGAGGGTGTTGTGCTGTGTGTCAAAAACAAGGAAGTCATCTCCTCTCCAGTTCTATCTGAAGAGAAGAGATGCTGCCAGCGGGGGAGCTAACAGCCAAGAACCCCCTCTCCTTTCCCTCAGTCCCTCAATTCCTGAGACCCAGTCTTCCTCTCTCCCTCCAAGACTCTTCAGTTTTTCTAGGGCCCAAATCTGGGCTTGGTCCAGACGGAAAAAGGTGAGCTACTCCTCACCAAACTCTGGCAAGGGCAGAAGCGATATTGAGGGTGCCCCCAAACCTAGCATGTCTGCCGGCTTGCCCAGGCCTCCCGTGACGCAGCCCTTCCTCCACAGCCCACCGGGCACGGTCAGTACTCGGCACCGAGCGGAGGAAGCCCGGAGCAGGTGGGTGGGAGGCCACGGTGAGGCGGTCAGCTTGGGTGTAGCTCAGTCAGATCCGCCTTGGCCCCCTAGACTAGCGCCCCCGGCCCCAGGCTGACTGGGCGGAGGGAAGGCGGCCTCCCTCACGGGAGCTGCGACCCCAGGAGCCCCTCCGCCCACCCACTCTCCAAGAACTCCACGGCCAGCGCAAAGTCAAACTCGTGCAGCGGCGGCCCGTCCACGGCGATCTTCACCGCCGGGCCGCCCCGGCCCTCCCCGGCCCCGCTCTGCCCCCACCACCGCAGCTCCCGGCTGCGGCCCACCTTGTCCAGGAGGCCGGCGCCCGCGGGCAGCGCCAAGGCTAGAGCGGCAAGGGCGGCGAAGTCCGGGAAGAGCTCGTGCAGCTCAGAGCGAGCGCACGCCAGCTTGGCGCACAGGGCCCGCGGGCCCAGCCGCCCCAGGCTGCGCACCACGCGCTTGAAGAGCGCGAAGTCGCCCAGCGCCCGCTGGCGCACCAGGGCGGGGGCGAAGGTGCGCAGCAGCACCCGCAGCGCTCCCTCGCCGTGCGCGCCCAGCTCCTCGGGTGCCTGCGGGTAACCGCGCGGGTCGAAGATCGCCGCGAAGGCGGCCACGGCGTCCAGCGAGGGCCCGGGATAGGAGTCCCACAGCCCCCTCCGCATGGAGTCCAGGAAGGCCCCCCGCAGCCGTTCCAAGCCCCGCACGGCAGCCTCGGAGTAGCCGACCAGCTCCACGCCACGGTAGGTGCAGCACCCACCGCCCAAGTCGGGGCCGGAGGAAGCCAAGTCCTGCAGGAAGCCCTGGAGGCGCGCCCCACCCGAGCTGCGCTGCGCTTGGAGGGAGGCCGCGGCCGCCATCACCAGGGGCTGCAGCGAGGCCAAGTCTGGCTCTTCTGGCTGCAGGACAAGGGCGAGCTTCTGCACGGTGGGCAGAGTGTCCAGCAGCAGGTAGGTGAAGGCCACGAAGGTGAACTGGCGCAGGGCGAGGGCCAGTGCCCTCGCTGTAGGGGAGGCTGGGGCAGAGGCCTCCAGTGTGGGCACCAGGCAAGGCCAAGCCTCAGCCACTGCTTCCACGATAGGCAGCAAGGACGCCCAGGGCACTGGCCGGGGTCCCGCCAAGTCAACAGCAGCAAGGTCCAGTGCCGCCCGGAGCTCGGGGACCGTGTGGGAACTGGGGCCACCATGGAGGCGGAATAGGGCATCCAGCACACTTTCATATTCACTTAGGTAGGCCGGGGGCTCAGGATCTGTCCGGCCGGGGAGGCAGTGTAGCTCGGTGAGCAGTGGGCAGGCAGCGCGGAGTTGTGGGCCCACGTGCCCGAGGCGGTCACTGGGGAGGCTCGAGCTGAGCCAGGCCAGCTTGGCTGCAGACACACCGAAGGCCTGCAGGATGTCCAGGAGTTGGCCAGCAGTGGCATCACCCTCCTGTAGCTCCACACTGCCCAGGAACGTGGTAGCCGGCTGGCCATCACAGGGGGACACCGAAGTGGCAAACAAGGCCAGACTGTGGGACTCAGGCCAGTCCCTGGTCTCGTCCAACACCAGCCCTACATACGGGGATGCCTTCAGGCGCTGGCAGGCCTCTGTGTGCAAGACACTGGCAATGGCCACCTGGGACAGCCAGGGAGAGAAAGGGAGGGACAGAGTTAGGCTTGTCCTGAGCAGGGGAGGTAGCAGTACCGAACACAGAAAGGGCACAGGCCTCGGGGGCAGGCAGACAGACCAATCCTGGCTTGGCTGCTTACTGGCTGGGTGACCTTGGGCAAGTCATTTCACCTCTCTGAGCCTCAGTTGCTTCAGCTCTGAAATCAGGCTACTACTTGCCTCTCAGCTCCTTAAAAGGTTGTTGTCAATTAAAAATGTAACTTTCTGTGGCTGTGCTTATAAGTGTAAAACTGCTTGAGGAACCATAAAGATCCTGCAGCATTTTGTGTGTGTTTCTACAGCATGGCCCCGGTTCCTCTTCCTGGGAGTCTCTCTCCACTGTGCGCTCAGGAATTAACTCATAGACATGTTTCCTCCCATTTACGTAGAGCCCCAACTGTGTGCTCTGTTTGTCCGTGTGTCAGCTGTCTGTAGGATGAGATCTAACTCCCCCACCCTCACGCAAGTCCCTAGGACTCATACACCTGGTACCTAGGACAGAACTGCAACTTGCATGCCCCGAGGGGCCACGTGGATGGTACTGGGCTTGATGTGGGCCAGGGATACACCAAAAGGAATGGAGAAGCCGTGGGTCTTCTTCATGCCCTGAGAGCACAGGGACCTAGCTTTTCAGAAGTCACAAACCCACATTTTCATATGTAATCTTTCTCTCTCTTTTTTTAACTTGGAAACTAAGTGAGGTTTTCCAAAAACACTGTGAAAATCAACAAAATACATCTGTGGGCCAGTCAAGCCCCCAGGCTACCCAGCTTGCAACCTCTGGCCTCTGCTGGGAGGGAATGCCCCTCTGCCCCACCCCTGGGGACAGGGCCTGGTCTGGCCTCTTCGTGGCGGTGCCCCCAGCAGCTGGCCCAGGGCCTGGCACAGAGCATGGCTCAGTGAAAGATTCTGCTGGGTGAAGGTATGAATGAAGCTCTCTGGCTCCTGCCCGGGGGCCTGGAATGTTGGTGCTGTGCCCAGAGGGCTGGATGTCCTCCCTCCTCAAGCCCTCCCCCACACCTCTGGCCGCCACCCACCTGCATGTCCCTCACCCTCCTGGGGCTGTAGCAGTTGCCATGCTCTGTGCCCAGCAGGGCCTGGCACAGGTTGAACCTCTGCAGCTCGAGCAGGGCGGAGCAGCGGTCGTCGGGCACATCCTCCTTGGCCATGCAGTACACCGTGGTCAGCACGGCCACTTTGGCCGGGTCCACCTCCATCTTGACGCTCCTGGAGGTGGGGGGCGTCTCCAGATCTGGGTAGGCCCCTCCTCCCTCGGCGTGGCCCTCAAAAGTGGGCTGGCCCCGGTTGACGGCCAGCGCCTGGCGGTGGGCCCCCGAGGTCACGTGGCGCAGCAGGGCATGGCGCTGGAAGTTGTCGGTGCCCACGGTGAAGGCATTCTCCGCTTTGCCATGCTTGTTCCGCACCAGGGCCTGGCGACACTCGAGGCAAAACATCAACTTCCGCTCATAGTCGAAGTCCAGCCAGGGAAACTCCTCTTTCCAGTGCTCGTTGAAGTAACGCTTGCACTTCTTGTTGGAGTTGGAGGCCTCTCCTGCGGGTTTCTTCCCTGGGGGCACCATTCCTGCTCGAGGGGCAGGGCACCCCCAACCCCCACCCAAGTGCTCTGGCCCCCCAGCCTCCCCCTACACACCGCGGCACCTCCCTTGACAATGGAAGTTGGTGGGGAAGGCAGGAGGGGAGCACGCTGGGCTAATGGGGACCATCCATCTAACTTAGCTGGGAAAGTTTATTCCTGCTCCTCCGGTGGGAGACTGGAGATGAAAGAGACAAGGGAGAGGTGTTAGAGGGTCCACCGTGGGTTCATGCTGCCCACAGAGCACTCCCCAACTGACCGGGGCACAGCACCTAACTGGGAAGGGCTACTGGAATGGGTGGGGTCATGCCAAGGGCCACAGAATGTCATCCAAAGTGGGGGGAGGCCTGGGGGCCCCAGCCCACTCTGAGGGTCTCCCTCCATCCGGGGAGGCCTGATGGGCTTTGACTGTTGAAGCATGGCTGAACTCGGCTCTGGAAAGACTGGCACCATCTGTGCAACTGAGTCCAGGTGACAGCAGTTCCCAGGGCTCGTGAATAATCTGTAACTGAGCCAGGATCGGACCTTGACTCCTCATTCAAGGATGGCCAGTCTCTTCAGTCCACAATCATTTATTTCATGAGAATGAAGTTATTAGCACAAAGCTGAGCTCCCAGAGCCACGGGGCCAAAGAATGGCATTCGCTTTCACTGGGCCTCCCTTCCCTAAACCTATACGTGGGCACACTCACACACACACACGCACCCTGATAGTGTGGTGCTGGGTAAAGAAGCCTAGAAGTGGGGGTGGGCCCCAGACTGAAGGGGCTAGCTGGCCACCTGTGCCTTGCTCACTCTTCTACCACCCCAGGCACGAGGCCAGGTGAGCCGTTCAGGACCAGAGGCCACGTCCTGACAACGGCCAAAACCAGCCACCTCTACCTCCTTACTGTCCCTCAGCCCTGTCCCCTAGATGCCCACTCGTCATGACAGCAGTAACTACCCTTTGTCAAGTGGGAACCGCATCAGGCCTTGTGCTAAGGACTTTGCAGGGGCTCCATGAGAAGACCAAGACTACTCCTGCAAGTACTCTCTGAGGGTGGTAACCTCCTCATTTTGGAGAGGAGGAAACCAAGGCTGGGGGACCTTAAGTGACTTGCTCAAGGTTCCACAAGCAGAAAGTGGCTGAGGCAGAGTTAGAACCTACGTCCAGGGGCGCCTGGGTGGCTCAGTCGGTTACACGTCTGCCTTCGGCTCAGCTCATGATCTCAGGGTCCTGGGATCGAGCCCCGCATCCAGCTCCCTGCTCAGTGAGGAGCCTGCTTCTCCCTCTCCCTCTGCTCCCCACCCCTCACTCATGCTCAGTCTCTCTCTCTCTCTCTCAAATAAATAAATAAAATCTAAAAAAAAAAAAAGGTCCTGTTAAGAAAATGAAAAGTCTTAAAAAAAAAAAAATCTACATCCACTTGCCCCCAAAGGCCAAGCTGAGACTCTGGCCTGCACTGTCTCACCTGGATTATATATCTGCCTCCACCTCTGCAGTCACACCCCCCAAATGTGTCCCTCCCTCAGCATCCAGAGAGCCAGCTCACACACAGCCCACTCCCTTGCTTCCACCTCTTCACCGCTGTCCTAAGTGGTTGCCTGAATCCACACACCTCACCATGAGCCATCGAGGTCCTCCTCAGCCTCCCAGTGCTCCTGGCTGCTCCAGAGGCTCACCATTCCCCACCCCACACCCAGCTGTTACTCTGCTCCTGCCTTCATCCTCTGTGCCTGGAATTTCCTATCCCTCCTCCCTGGCTAATTCCCATTCATTCCTGGAGAGCAGCTCTGCATCCCCTCTGCCACCCGGATCCCCCCAACTGGGGCTGGTGCCTGTCCTCTAGTCTCCCATAATTCTCTGGGTGTGGGTCTTGATAATACAATATGGTAAACTCAGGGATTCTCTAACGTGTCTCTGCACTTGGTTCCTAGAAGGCCAAGATCACGTTTGTTCATTTTGGGATCCCTAAGCCCCTGTAGAGGGCTCGGCATGAAGATGCCTTTGAGCAAAAGCTTGTTGTTTAAGAGAATGGAAGGACTGATTTGGGTTGTATGAAAGAACTGCCTGTTTCTAAGGCTACTGGTTAGATGACTGGGCTCTGAGAAAGCAGTGATTGTCTTGTCCTCCTGATATGCCCAGCACCCTTCATGGAACCTAGCACTTAGTGGATAAGTAAAGGGCAGATGAACAGAAGGCCAGGGGTATCCTGTTCAGTGCAAGGGAAGGTGCTCCCTATTGCCTGTTGCAGTGAAACTCATCACTCCTCTTCCCTTAGGCTCTCAGTGGCATTTGGGACTGCTCACCCCACCCTCCTTGAAACATGCATTTCTCTTGGCTTCCAAGACCCTATGTCTCCCAGCTTTCCTTTCCTCCATCAGCACCCCTCCGCCTCTGATGTCATCTTCTCCTCCTCTTCCTAACCTAAAACTGTCCCAAAAGTTCAGAACCATGTCTGCTGGTCACCCTGAAATAAACCACCCCAGCCGGAGCCATTCCTCTGGGTGCCACACCTCTCCATCCAACCACTTTCCTGGCTTGTCTAGATGGAACTGTTGATCTGTCCCTACAGATAGGCTCCTCTCCCAGTCATCCCCAGCTCAGGAAACGCCTGCTCTCCTACCCAGGTGCTCTGGCCAGAAAGCTGCCCCTCCAGCCCCTGCTCTCTCCCATATCCCGGAGCTGGTCTATCCACAGGTACTGTCGGTTCACCCTCCACAATCTGCCTGTAACCTGTCTTGTCTCTCCATGCCGCTGCTACCAGCCTTGTCCAGGGCACCTGCATCTCTTGCCTGGACTACGGCAGTCACTTCCTGATGGCACTCTGGGCTTCCACTCTTACCCTTCTCTGAGCCATCTGGACCAATAAGAGCTGGAGGGGGCTTTTGAAAACATACTGCTTAAAACCCCTCTGTGACTTCTTGCTGTCTGAGGCCAGGGGCAGGATCCCTTTCGAGGTCTGGCACTGCTGACCTCTCTGGTGGCCACTTGTGCCTCTCTCCCCTTCCCGCTACTTCGGCCTTTCCTCAGTTCCTCCAGAGTGCCAGGTTCCTGTCCCCAGGGCCTTTGCACATGCTGTACCCGCTTCCAGAATGTCTCCACCTCCTCTCAACACTTTGCCTATTTCATTTCCCCTTTGGTCCCCTCTTCCAAGGAGACTTCTCTGTCCCTTCCCAGGAGGTCCTTTTCTTTTCTGTCACTATTTCCTGTTTGTTCCCTCCATTGTACTCCTCACGGTTTACAAATTTGCTTATTTTCTCTGCATTTCTATTGCATGGCACGCTCTCTCTTTCTCTCTCCTTCTCCTTCTTCTTACTCTCTCTCAAGAATGTAAGCTTCCTGAGGGCAGGAAAGGTAACTAACTTGTTCACATCTGAACAGAAGGGAATGCTGCCTGGCACCCAGCAGGTGCTCCACAAAATTTGGGGAGTGAATGAATAAGGGACCACCAGCTTTCAAGCAGAGAGAACAATGGAGTGGTGTCTTGGGCACCTGTTGGGTGGCTAAAACAGCTGCCTTTGACCTCCTTTCCTCCCAAGATCCCATGATTCTGTGACGCTGTCTAGCTCACCACCCAAAGGATCTTAGAATGTGGAGGAGGTGCAATTCCAAGGTGGTACCCTTTGGAAGTTTGTCAGCTCCTTTCCGTATACCTAGAACTGGCTATCCTGCCCCATTCTGCAGAGGGATAAAATTACTATGTGACCTAGGATGTTTTTGATCAAAGAACAAAAGAGTAGGTAGGAAGGATGCATGGGAAGATGGATTCTGAAACTGCAGTGTCAGATATGGTAGCTAGTAACCACATGTGGCTGTTTATAATTAATCAGAATTAGAAAAACATTGTAGAATTCCTCAGTCTCGCTAGCCACATTTCAAGTTCTTGATAGCCACGGGCTACTGTATGAAATGGCCCAGACAGAGACCACTGACTTCATCCCACAAAGTTCTCTTGGACAGTGCTACTCTAAAACAACCCAGCCAAAGTTACCTCAGCCTGAGGGAACCAGGCTGGACGGGGTGGGCTGTAAATAAAATGTGACTATGTGACCAAGGCTGACCAGGGCAGTGCACCTGTCAGACCCAGGTCCGCCACACCGCTCTGCACCCTGGCCACCTAGACGTGAGCCGCCACAACTTGTGGGGCTCCTGGGGTGACTGTGTATTGGTCTCCGGTCCCAACTCCACCCTGGCAGGTCAGCCTCAAACACAGAGCTTATGTGGCCCCAGGGTGGCGGTCCCCAGCCTCGCCCCCAGGCCCCTTGGGGAGCCCCTAGGGGGATCCATGTTCCGGGGCGGAGGACCAGCGAGGTGAGAGCTCCCTGCTCGCCCCGGGCCAGGACACGGAGGGCTGGGGAACTTCCTCAGGGGGGCGTGTGGTGGGGGAGCTCTCGAAGGTCCCGGAGGCCCCCGCCTCCCCCCCGTTCTGCTGCCCCGCCCGCAGCGCGCCCACCTGTCGCCCGCCCCCCCCCCCGGCCGGAAGCTCCGGGAGGGGGCGCCCCGCCCGGCCCGGGCACCGCGCCCGCCGCACACACTCACGGAGACTCGGGAGCCACCATCTTGCGCGGTGGACGCTCTGGCCGCGGTCTCCTTGGGCTCCACTGAGCGACAGCAGCCACTAGCGGTAACCGGGGCGAAGATGCGCCAGCAGCCGGCGACGGCCGGGTTGGCGGGCAGGGCGGCGGCGCCCTGGGGCTCACCTGGCGCGGCCGTCCCCCCTGCGCGCGCGCTCGGCAGGCAGCGGGGGCGACGGAGGTGAGACCACCGGAAGGGTGTCCCGCCAGCAGGAGGGACAGGGTCATTCATTCGTCACGGGCACCCGCCCGTTCTAGAGGAGCTCCCAGGTGAGAGCTCCCAGGTGAGAGTCAAACAGAGCGCTAGGGAGGCACCGGCGAAATGCTTTGGGACCACAGGGGACCAGGGGGGAAGCCTACGGTCTGCGGGGAGAGTCTATTAGGTTTCACTGCAGGGTAAGTAAAGTTTTACCAGGGGTAGGGCATCCCAGGC